AGCACCCCCAGAAGCAGCACCCCGAGCAGGACCACCCTCGGCAGGACTTGAGTCACCAGTGACCTCAACCGGCGCAGTCAAGGGAGGAGGGTCTACCTGAGACACACCTGAAGGAGCAGGACCGGGAGCGGGGAGGGGGTCTACCTGGGGAGCACCTGGAGCGAGGAAGAGCGGCGGGGGGGGGAGAGGGGCAGTGCGGTAGGGGAAGAGACGGTAAAAGGGAACCGACTCGTCGAACGTGACGTCCTGAGAGAGGAAGACACGGCGCGAGGTGGGGTGGTAAAACTGCCAACCAGGCGCGTCAGGGACAAAGCCAAGGAAGACACAGGGAACAGCGCGGGCGGAGAGCTTGTCCGCGGTGGTATCGCGGACAAAGGCGACGAGAACCCCAGACCCGGAACACCGACGCATCGCCAACCTCCCCCGTCCACCACAGTGTGGGCGAGGTCTCCGGCAAGGAGATACGGGGCCAGAGGTTGAGGTGATGCGCGGCGTAGCGGACCGCAAACGGCCACAGAAAATGGGGGGCAGCTGCATGGACCATGGAGGTACGAGCGACCTCCATGACCAGGCCAATGCGGCGCTCAGCAACCCCATTCTGCTGCGGAGAGGCCGGAAGCGTGAACGTATGGCGAATGCCCTCCCCACAACAAAAGCTCTGCAGAAGGTCAGAGGAAAGCTCCCCACCTCTGTCAGAGTGCAGACGCAGAATGAGAAACTCCGTCCCGAACCGCTCGCGGAGCTGGAGACGGGCAGCGCGGATCCAAGGGATCAAAACATCAGGGACCTCACCCTTGGTGCGCAAGGGGAAGACCGTGGTGTAACGCGAGTAGTCGTCAACAACCAGCAGGAAGTACCGCTCGCGGTCCTGCCCACTGACGCGGGCTGGGCCCCACACGTCCATGTGCAGGGTCTGCAGGGGAGCAGTCGTCGGGGGAAACGAGGAGGAGTGAGGAGCGGCGCGCTGCCGCCCCTCGACACAGGGAAGACAGGGAGGAGCAGGCGAGGGTGGGAGGGGAGGGAGAACCCTGGGAAGACCAGAGACAAGGACACGGCGGTGCATGCTACGAAGGCGCTGCACCGAGGGGTGACCAAGGCGGTGGTGCCAAAGGAGGGTCTGGTGCAACAAAGCGCGACACGAGCAGGGGGCCGCTAGCTGACCTGACGCAGACGCAGACGGAGCGACCTGAGGGGACACAGTAGTCAGTGTGTACAGACTCGAGCCAGGGGCGCGGGTAAACGTGGCCAGGTGCCGGCCCGTCCGGGAGCACGTACAGTGGGTCACACGCTGACCTCCAGGAGTGAACTGGTCAACCCACTGGTCCTGGAGGTCAGCACCACTCACCAAGTTTGTAGAGAACGAGGGGAGGTGAAGACCTGAAAGGGAGCCAGACGGGACCGCCGGACACGGCAGGACCGTGGAGGAGTGTGCAAGGACTGGACCCCCAGAGGGGTCTACCAGGGAGACTGCAAACGGCCGACTGAGCAGCGTGAGGGTGGTGCTGTCGCGAAAGAAGGAGCGGGAAGCACCTGAGTCAAGTGTAAAGGTGTACAAGGCCTCAGCAAGCGCAGTACCAGAGAGAGCAGACTCACCAGCACATGGAGGAGCAGCCTCACCAGCACCTAGAGCAGGAGACGCACTAGCACCTAGAGCAGCAGCCTCACCAGCACCTAGAGGAGGAGACGCATGAGCACCTAGAGCAGTAGCCTCATCAGCACCTAGAGCAGCAGGCTCTATACCTGGGTCAGGCGGTACGCACAGGTAACAGGCACGGTCAGCACTAGTAGGCAATGCACACATGGCAGTGAGAATAGCATCATAGTCAAGAGCAAAGATATCTACCCTCTGCCCAAGCAGCTCCAGCCAGGTGGGGAGCTCAGCCTCGTCGCCAAACTCGGTACGCCAGGCGTCGCTCAGACGGGCGAAGCAGCGGGACTGTGTGTGACCAAGCGTCCCGCAAGCCTGACGAGCCCGATCATCTGTGCGAATGACGTACGGGCAGCGAACGGTACTCCGAGACCCTCTACTCTTTGCGTACCACTCACGAAGCTGCAGGGGCGTAAGTGTCTCGCGCGGACGCCGCTGCAGCTGCAGCTGGCCACTGTCAGACGCTCCCGACTGACCAGCTCCAGGGCGACAGCCACGACTGCTACCGCCACAACCCCAACTAGCGTACCACTCACGAAGCTGCTGGGGCGTGAGAGACTCACGCGGACGTCGCTGGAGCTGCATCTGGCCACCGCCAGTAGTAGCAGTAGCAGTAGCAGTAGCCTAGCAGTAGTAACAGAAATAGCAGCAGTAGCAGCGCGGGCAGGGCAGGCGCGGCAGGCAGACAGGCAGGCAGGCAGGCAGGCAGGTAGGCACGCAGATGGCGCGGCAACGCGCGAACAAGGCAGGTGCTCACCAGTGGCGGGAAGGGCAGGTGCTCGCTGGGCGAGCAGGGCCGGCGCTCGGCGGGCGGCGGCCTGGTAGGCACACGACGGCGGCGACGGCGGGGCCGCAACAGCGGCTGCAAAGTAGGGCCGCGTCAGCTGCAGGGCTGGGACCACGACAGCGGCAGGGCAGGGCCGCGGCAGCTGCTGCAGGGCGGGGCCAGGCTGGGGCCGCGTCGGCGGCAGGGCGGGGCCGCGACAGCGGCAGGGCGGGGCCGCGTCAGCGGCAGGGCGGGGCCGCGTCGGCGGCAAGGCGGGGCCGCGACAGCGGCAGGGCGGGGCCGCGTCAGCGGCAGGGCGCGCCGCGACAGCGACCTGGCGGGGCCGCGTCGGAGGCAGGGCGGGGCCGCGACAGCGGCAGGTCGGGGCCGCGTCGGCAGATGTCGGGGCCGCGTCGGCGGCAGGGCGGGGCCGCGACAGCGACCTGGCGGGGCCGCGTCGGCGGCAGGGCGGGGCCGCGTCGGCGGCAGGGCGGGACCGCGTCAGAGGCAGGGCGAGGCCGCGTCAGCGGCAGGGCGGTGCCGCGACAGCAACCTGGCGGGGCCGCGTCGGCGGCAGGGCGGGGCCGCGACAGCGGCAGGGCGGGGCCGCGTCGGCGGCAGGGCGGGGCCGCGACCGCGGCAGGGCGGGGCTGCGTCAGCGACCTGGCGGGGCGGCGCTCTGGCCTGACGGGCCTGCAGGGGCGGCTCGCGGGCCTGACGGGCCTGCAGGGGCGGCGCGCGGGCCTTACGGGCCTGCAGGGGCGGCGCGCTGGCCTAGGGCAGCAGTAAGCAGCGCGAGGGCTGCAGGACGGCGCGCGCAGCGCAATACGTCACAAGGCAAGGCAGGCAGGCAGGACAACACGTGGGGTAGCGCGGTAACCGCAACGGTAGGTGGGCCCGAAAAAAAAGACGGTCCTACGGACCTAGTCCTCTGATACCATGTTAGAATCTAGCAGCAGGAATGAATGAACTATGAAAGAATTGGGTACAAATATGAAACCCTAATGTGGACTGTACCCCATATTGGCTACCCCACTACAGCCTAAACACATATAGCATATATAATATTTGACACGAAGCAGCTCCGCGAATTCGTCGCCTGTGGTTTGGGTTGCTTGAGGGTGGCATGTTCGCAAGGGCTTGGGTGGGCTTCGGAGCCCATGGCGAGGCCTAAAGTGTCGAGGCGCAGTCCGTTTGAGCAGGGACGACTCATAACGCGATAGATGTGCTTCGTGTGACAGCGTGGAGAGATCCTACTGGAGCACGCAATGCTTAAGGGTCCGTTGCAATCGGGAGTACGAGTGCGGCCCGGGCGAATGTGGAAGGCGGGAAAATGGCTAGGTTCGGAAGCTGTCGGGAGTCACGGGGATTGTGGTAAGGGTTGACAAACCTAGTGAATGTCGGGGTACCGAATCACTTGTAATGCTCAGGGGTCCGCCGCTACCGGAAACATGAAATGCGGCACGGGAGTGAGAAAAGCGGGAACATCGATAGGTTCGGACGTCGGCGCGAGGCTTGAAAATGTGGTATGGTAGCCCATTGTTATGAAGCTCGGATGTGACCTAGAGAATAACAGGAAAGTCAAGGGCTCGTCGAAGGGGTTGCCTTGAGGTTCAAGAAGTTTGGACTGCGTTATTCTCGTTAAAGCGTTTGTGCGTTAAGGACGCGTAACTTTTTCGCTTTCAATGGTCCGGACGGAGGCCCCGTCCGGACTTTGGTAGGGTAATTAGTTTCGTCACATGTCGTTTAGGCACTCGCAAGACCCCTTGCGACGTCGCTACCGTCCGGACTAACTTTGACACTTTTCTGCCAGAAAGTGGTCCGGACTAACTTGCTGACACCATCCGCCCGGCATTTCGTACGGTCCGTCCTGGCTGCGCTGTCATTGGGGCACGAACCGGGTGACAACCTCAACCAGTAACGCGTCGAGTAACATTTTGTGGCGAATTTTCGAGTGCTGTACGATTTCTGCAATTGCGTGTTACATTGCGTGGTGAAATATTTTTTTTTTTTTTTTTTCGAAATTGCAAAAAGTTTCACAACTGTGGTCCGGACGCCCTATCGTCTGGACCTGATTCCCAAACGGCCGGACGGAGCTCCGTCCGGCCGGTTTGGGGGCTCCGTCCGGACATTTGACGAAAAGAGAAAAAGTTACGCGCTCTAATTTAGGCAGAGGAAGGTCACGTGAAACTTGCCAAACGCAAGTTCAGTGAGACAGAGTCGCGTTCACAACACAAGTACCTTATATATAAATGAACTATCGAAGTGCCAAGAAGTAGCAAGTATTACGTTTTGACCTCTACATAATACAGCATACGCCTTTCGCAAAACATCCAGCGAAAAATGTTTGGTTACAAGCGCAGAGCTGCCAGCCAGCTAATGGCAATGCCCATGGCGACAGTGACTGTAACAGCAAGTGTGACGGGGGCAGTGCCCCATTCACCTCCTGGTTTGGCCTGTGGCAGCACTCGATGATGTGAGTACATAATCCACTATGGCCGAGGATGTGACTGTAACCGTAACTATGTGTTACCATGCATGTAACTACAACTGACTATGACAGTGAGGGTAATAGGAAGCATCCCTTCACCTCCTGGGCAGCCCTGTGGCAGCACTCCATGCTGTGAGCACATGATCCACTATGGCTGGTACCCCCACTCCATGCTTCACCTGCCCAGAGGGATGGGATGGGATGGGTGCATGCATGGGAAGAGGCATGCGTTGCATGAGCACGTGCATGCATGCAGAGCAGGACTCCATGCTGTGAGCACATGGTTCTAAGTCTTGACTCTGTTTGAAAACACCCCTGCTCATGGAAGAAGGGAAATGCGTCAATGGAATCTGAGCAAGAGGATCGAGTTTACGAGACGTCGCTAGGTGTTATGTTCGTGACGACAGTGTATGCAATCGCGTCGCACTGAATTCGTGACGAGAGACACGGACATCCAGGTTCTTTTCTTTCAGATAGAGACGTTCAGTCAGCTTGACAATGTTATCTAGATTCTAGCTCGCAACTTGTGAAGGTTCATCTGGCCCGGTAGACGTCTTTGTCTCGCACAGTCTAGTTGTTACGAATACAGACTCTGATTACAGCTTCTTAACTCAATTCGCCGCCAATGGCTCGTGAACTCCCTTCGCGAAACAGTCTTCAAAGCAATCACCACAGCACCTGCCTCGTTCCATAGAAACCGTGTTTTCTTGAGACTCGTTCCGTACGGCGGTCGATCCGAGAGCCTCTTCCCCTACGGTCCATTCTAAACCCGCTCCACATAGCACCATATACTCATTTATAATTAAGTACTCCAAAGCTACTGCCTTTCCCCGATTTCTACGACCCGGTTCCTATCCTCCGCGCCCTTGTATTACACCGGATGCACATGGATCAGACACTCCCCCTGTCCCCCTCTTTCTCCCCACCCACCTGTGCGAACACCTAGGGCCCGCCATCCCACATGCGCAGAGAATGTCTTTCCACAACTGCCAGGCTCACACAAGCGCCTTTCCACAACTGCCAGGCTCACACAAGCGCCTTTCCACAACTGCCAGGCTCACACAAGCGCCTTTCCACAACTGCCAGGCTCACACAAGCGCCTTTCCACAACTGCCAGGCTCACACAAGCGCCTTTCCACACACACACACACACACATACACGCGCGCGCGCGCACGCACGCACGCACGCACGCACGCACGCACGCACGCACGCACGCACACACACACACACACACACACACACACACACACCTCCATGCATTCCCCTCCTGTCTCCCACCCACCTGTGCGAACACCAAGGGCCCGCCATCCCGCATGCGCAGCGCGTCTCTTTCCATAACTGCCAGGTCAGCACCGATCGCCGGCGCCAGGTCGGTCTTGTTCACCACCTGATGATGCCACGTCAGCATGGCAGAAAGCACGCAGAAGAGAGCACAGAAGTAAGGTAGCAAGTGAAGTGGGGGGAATGGGGGAGAGAGGGGGGAGGAGGGGTGGGGTTCAGCATGGAGTATGGAAGTGTCATTTCTCTCTCCCATTACGGTACCTAACCTCCACACCTGCCTTCTCTCACCACACACCACCCCTGCTCACACCTCCATATCCCCACGGAATCAACCAGGCCATCCTCAGAGCCTCAATGCGTCTACACCTCTCAGCAACAGGTCCGCCTGGGTGACCCCAGGGCCACTCTTCCTTGGGATCTTCCCTGCAAGCACACTTAAGCTCATACCCATGTGCACTCACACCCATCCTCCTTCCCCCCACCTTTGAAGCGCCTCAAATGTCACCCCAGAGCACACTCCCTTCCCTCCAGACCAGATCTTCCCTGCAAGCACACTTGTACTCACATCACAACCATCCTCTCCCCGCAACCACCCCCTTTCCACTCTAGAGACGTCTCAAACCTTTCCCTGCAAGAACACTTGTACAGCCATCCTCCTCCCTCCAACCAACCCCATTCCTCATTCCAGCAGGTCTGCCAGCATAATATCTAGCCTTTCCGTCCTTATAATATCACTCATGCAGGTCGATTCTACGAAGCTGGTTTGAGGGGCAACGATGGGCATTGGGCATGGCGCGGTGCCATGGTGAGATAACGTGCAGCTAAGACTAGGAAGTGAACGCTTTGAGGTCACCATGGCTGCAGGGAACGTTTTGAGCAAGGTAAGGCAGGGAAAAAAATTGAGAGACACCTTACTTGAGACACACCCCTTTCCTCTCACCAGCAGGTCTGCCTGTGTGATGCCCGGGCCGCCCTTCCTCGGGATCTTATCCCCGCCCGACACGTCAATGATGTAGATTATGTAGTCTGCTAGCTCTCGGCTGAAGTTGGCCGCTAGGTTGTCTGCGGGGAATGGGATCGGGGACAGAGGATAGGAGCCAGATGGGGAGACAGATGAGGAAAGAAATGGGGTCTCATCACCAACCCCCGACACATCAATGATGCAGATGATGTGGTCTCCTAGCTCCCGGCTGAAGTTGGCCGCGAGGTTGGCCACCGACTGACACATCAATGATGTAGTCTGCTAGCTCTCGGCTGATGGAGGTGCACATGGGGATGTGAGCAAAGGACAATACTGGAAGCCTCAATTCACATGCCTCCACACACTCAGCACTCCTCCCTTCCACCCTCTACACTCCCTTGCCACGCCCTTCCTCTCACCTTCCATCCTTCGTTCCACTCACCTCCTCCTGATTCGCACAACAGCATGTGGGATATGAAGCGTCGTGACGCTCATACCATGAGCGGATGGCGGCATGGCGGCATGGCGGCATGGAGACATGAGATGAGATGAGACCCCTTCATGCCACTGTGCCACCCACTCACCTCCTCCTGACTCGCACAGCAGCATGACTGCAGTATACTCGGTAGAAAGTTCTTCCAGAGGCCCCACGTTGATGCTGATGTCTTCCCAGATGGATGGCAGCGTGTGAACAATCGGACGCACACATGAGAATAAACCCCAACTCTCACTCACGCATGGCCCCCTTCCTCCCACCCACTCACCTCCCCCTGACTCGCACAGCAGCATGTCTGCTGTAAACTGCACTGAAAGCTCCTCCAGCGGCCCCAGGTTGATGCTGATATCCTCCCGGATGGCGGCGTGCGGACAGCCGCCCGTCTCCACCGCCCGGATGCGGCCGGGCGGCGAGAGGGCGGCGTGCTTGATGAGGAACTCGCCGTCCTCTTGTGTGAAGATGTCGTTGGTCACCGCTGCCAGGCTGTACTGCTCTCTCAGCGTGCGACACAGGGCCAGCATGAGAGCAGTCTTGCTGTGGGTGGACGGGGAATGGGAGCATAGGGGGGGAATGGGAGCATAGGGGGGGAATGAGTGGTTCATGTGAAGATGTCGTTGGTCACCGCTGCCAGGCTGTACTGCTCCCTTAGTGTGCGGGCGGCACAGGGCCAGCATCAAGGCAGTTTTGCTGCAAGGTTTGTGGGAGATGATGGAGCGGGCGAACGGGGGAATGGGAGTGTGGGGAAATGAGGGGTGGTAGAGATGTGGTTGCTGCCTGCTGCTACCTACCTGCCAGGCTCTACTGCTCTCTGAGCGTGTGAGGGAGGGCCAGCATGAGAAAGGTGGGGGATGTGAGAATGGGGGAATGTGGGCGGAAAGGGAGTGGGTGAATGTGGGAATGTGGGCATGTGGGAATGTGGGCATGTGGGAATGTGGGCATGTGGGAATGTGGGCGGAAAAAGAATGAATGAAGGGGTGTGAAGGGTGTTGCGGGCAATGGCTGCCTGCCAGGCTGTAATGGACCGGTAGCATGCGGCACAGGGGGGCAGCTTGCGAGCGGCTTCTCTTTGAGATGGCTGGGGTGAATGGGCGAATGGGGGAATGAGGGAAGGAGGAGGGATGGGGGAATGAGGGCCGATGGGGGAAGGAGGGCGGATGGGGAAAAAAAGGGAGGATGGGTGAAGGAGGGCGGATGGGGGAATGCAGGTGGGTGGGGGAAGGAGGGCGGATGGGAATGAGGGGGGCGGAAGGGGCATTTTGTGCACTTTCCAGACCTTTCCTTTCCCCCCTCGCCAAATCCCCCCACGTACTTCTCCTCCCCTCTTCTCTTCTCCCGCCTCCCCCTTTTCCTTCCTCCTCCAGATCCCACGGGTTCCCCCACTCTCCAGAGTACATTGCGAGCTCAAAAGAGTTTCGTCCAGCCATGCTCGGCGCGCAATGCAATGCGCGCATGCGCGGATGTGACCCCCCTTCTTCCCATCCGCACCCCCATCGATCCCTCCCCTCCCAATCTCCGCCCCTCCCCCCCGCGTACCCTGACCCAACGGGCCCGCCGATTCCAACAGTAAACGCACGCTCCGCCAAGTCGCGGTTCGGCAAGGGCGGCGCGCGCAGCGCGAAGCTCCCCGCGCTGTCGAGCGGCTCGTGCGAATGCGGCGCGAGCCCGTCGTGCGAGTGGTAGACCCGCCCGTCCGCGCCGCGGAACTCGTCGGACGGTGCTGACGTGCTGACTCCCCAGGAATGAGAATAAATGTCAAGACAGAAAAACGAGGAAAAATAATGCGATTAATCATAATGAAACAGGATAAAGGGAATGCAAGCTAGTCTGATAATGCGTCTGGGCTCGCGTTAACGATTGGTGGCCAGAACGACGCGCAAAAGTATAGTAAACTGAGAATAAGATCAAGGGATCACTGACGTTGCAGGATGCTGGTGGTCGTGGTCGTCGTGGTGGTCGTCGTCGTCGTGCGAATGACCGTGGCTGTGCGCGTGCGCGTGTGCGGCATCACTGTGGCTGTGCGCAGTTCCGCCTTCCGCCTGCTGCCGCCCTTCCACTCCGTCGTCCCCAGCCATTCGTCTTCTAAGAATCGAATCGTTGAAGATTCTACTTTCTCTGAAACGACTCTTGCGATGAACCCGTAGAATGTCGCAAGAATCACAACAACGGGGATCGAGAGGCAAGGCAAGTCGTAGCAACGTGCTCGACGAAACGGTGGTCCCAGGACTGCCGGGACAAGACGAGACGATGATGGCGAGCACAGGCGAAGCAATCGCGGTGGAAAGCCTCTCGAGTATCGGGAGTGAAGACAGGAATCTCCAGAACTCAGAACTCTAGAATCGAGAGCATGCAAGCATCTGATTTACGGGAGTGGCAGGGGGACAGAAACAGAGCATGCGATGGCTTGTATCCCCGATAGAATGGGGGTGCTTGTGGAGTAATGATCGTCTAGCAACCCTATACAATCGGTTTCATTTTTTTGGGATACCCGTAATCACCCGGATAAAAGACCCCCCCTAGTTGAAGACCCCCGGGTCTTTAATACGGGGTGGGGTCTTTTATTACGGTATGTTTGAATTATACCCCCCTTTAGAGGCGAAAACATTATAAGACCCCCCCCCCCCCCCTCCCCCCCAGGCCCTCAGATTCACCTTTAGGGACGTTGATGCATCAGGGTCCCTGTGAAAGAAAGCCTGAATCTTCAGGGTTCCTGAAAAAAAAAGCCTGAATTTTCAGGGTTCCTAAAAAAAGAGCCCTGAATTTCCTAACACATTATGCCTTTGAAAAGGAGAAATCTTCACGAAACATTACAGCCGAGGGACTCGAACCGGGAACCCAACCATTCGATAATTTCGCCAACCACTGAGACAGTTCATCCTGTCAGCCGTCAGTGTCTTAAATTTTCATACGTGGAAATGTGGAAATGATGGTTGAATGAATCTGTGGGGTGTTTTACGGGAAGGATTCGGAATGTGCATTCAGTGTACACCTCGATAAAAGACTGAAAAATCAGTGTTAGCTATGAAATAAAGGCTGAAAAATCAGCAGTGTCACAAAAATCTCAACACTGAAAAATCAGTGTAGGTACACAAAACTAGGCTGAAAATCAGGAATTTCAGGGAAAATTTCCTGATATCGAAGGGCCTGCTCCCCCCCCCTCTCAAAGTTAGAATGCAACGTAATGATTGGTTTAGGAAACAAGGCAGCACAAATAAGCAACCCTAACTGTGTTATACTCTCTAAGGAGCAACTCACTACAGCCTATCACAAATATCAACATTTGACATGTTGGAAATACAATCATAAAGTAAATTTATATGCTGTTAAATATTAGTGTAGTACCCTTTATAAGACTCCAGGTCCTACAATAATTGTACAATTATTGTAGGGCCAGAATTATTGGGGGTCTAGAATTATTGGAGGGTAAGAGTTATTGGTGGGTAGAATTATTGGTGCACCATTATTGGTGTGGATGGATGGACTTTGGAAGGTTAGGTGCATGGATAAATACCTTGCTGTGTGGTGCCACAATCCATTCCATTGTTCTGAATCCTTTCAGTTGCAAGTTTCTCTTACGGTACTACTTATTCTACAATCAAGTTTCCGCAACAACGGCACTATGCCTTTCTAGCATGACACACCACACCCCCATAGGCTAAGTGAGGGGCATCAGAACAAGCAGGGTGAACAAACGGTCACAAGACCAGTCAAGACAAGTAGCAAAGCAAGCTCAGGGTGGATCTCAAGGACACCACACAAGTTCCGAGCCCAAGCAAGCGGCGACAAGGCCAGTTCAAGAGTTCACTAGGATATAAATAGTAAAACACAACAAGCAGGGCAAACAGCAAGTCTACAGCAACCGAGGGCCTACCTCAACAAGCCCCAACTGCAGACAGAACCTGTGGTGGTCACCAGGCGCCAAGGCCTTGGTGAGGACGTCGGCAATGTTGGCCTCGAGGCCACAAAGTCCAAGCGTGCCTGGCCGCGTCGCTGCAACTCTCGCAGGAGGAAGTACCTCACGTCAATATGCTTCACTCTGCTCTCCAGTCGAGGCTCTCGACACAGGAGGATCATGGCCTTGTTGCCAGCGTACAAGGTCGGCGCAGAGCGAGGCCGCTCACCAAGGTCGGCGAGCAAGAAGGTCAACCAGCGAAGCTCCTGTGCCGCCATGGCCCCAGCGTAGATCTCTGCCTCTGCACTGGAAGAAGCCACCGACGACGACCGTGTAGACCTCCACGACACAGCACCAGCACCCAGGCTGAAACAGTAACCCTGCGTCGAGCGCTGAGTCCCCACGTCGTCAGCGTAGGAAGAGTCGCAGTGACCAGTCAACACCACTGGCTGAGTCCCTCCAAGCACAAGCCCCATGCCTGATGTAGTCGCCAGGTACTTCGCCACCCGCACAACAGCGGTCTAGTGGACAGGACGGTGTCTCCCTGTCGCAACAAAGCGAGAGAGGACGCTGAGGGGAAAGGCGAGGTCCGGCCGAGTACAAGTCATCAGGTACATGAGACAGCCCACCAGCTCTGCGTAGGGGCCACCAGACTCAAAGGGCTCGTCAGGAAAGGGGCCAGTGAGTCGGTGGTCAACAGATAGAGGAGTGGTCTGTGTGGTGGAGAACTGAAACTCGAACCGCCGAAGGACCTGCTGCACCATGTATGACTGAGTCAGTGTGATGGTGCGAGCGGCTCTGTCCCTGGTGATATGCAGGCCAAGGTAGCGCTGCAGTTCACCTAGGTCAGTGCACTTGTGTCTCTTCTGCAGTTCGAGCTTCACCTGAGCCAGAGCTGCCCTGTCTGCTTTGGCAAAGACCAAGTCGTCGACGTACACTAGTATAAAGAAAGGAGTGGAACCAGTGCGAACAAACAGCGACGGGTCGGCAGAGGAAGGACGAAACCCAAGGTCACGAAGCGTGGAGCGAAGAGTGTCGTGCCACTCACGGGGCGACTGGCGGAGACCGTAGACTGGCCGCCTCAGGCTCCACTGGGTCCCAGGTGGGAAGGTGTCAGTGAATCCAGGAGGGCGGCGCAGCCAGATCTCCTCGTGTAGTCGGCCCTGGAGAAACGCAGTGGAGAAGTCAAGGGAGTGCAGCTCGTAGTCTCGCTGTGCTGCTTCGTGCAGTAACACCCGAAGAGTAGTCATCTTCGGGGTCGGGGCGAAGGTCTGGAAGAAGTCAACTCCCTCACGATGACTGAAACCCCTAGCCACGCAGCGCGCCTTGAACACAGGCGGTGAACCAGGCGGCCGCTTCACCTTGAAGAGCCACATGCGTCGCCCTGGGAGGGGGAACTGCGTCGACGTAGGTGCCTGTGGATCTCCAAGACGCTAACTCCGAGGCCATAGCCGCTTTCCACTGTGAGGCCCACGCCCCTGACACTGCCTCGCGGTAAGTGCGAGGTGTCGGTATGTCAAGGGCGTCGGGGTCTCCCTCAGGGGAAAGCAGCATGGCACAGACAGAGGGAGAAGCGGCTGCCCAGTACTCCATCTCAGACTCTCTGTCCTCTAGGACGTCACAGCCAAGGGCAAACTCACCCCTGACGAACAGAGGACGGGAGGGAGGAGCTGGCACCACACGGGTGGCGTAGTCAAGGCGACTGGCGGCAGCAAACTCAGCGACAGCGGCAGTGAGAGCCGAGACAGACGACGGAGGGAAACGAGAGTCGGTGACAAGAGTGGCGAGGACACTGGAGACAACAGGACGAACAGCGAGGTAGTAGTCAGTGATAGGAGTAGGGGGGAAAGGGAGAGAGGACGGAGGAGGAGACGGGAGAACGGACTCAGGAGGAGGACGACGAAGAGACGAACAAAGGAGGGCAGTGCGGAGGTCGGTAACGGGAGACGAGTGACGAGCACGCAGAGGACAGGGACGGACACGAGAGTGCGGGACAACTGGTGGAGAAGACTGCGGTGGAGGAGAAGACCAGACCGCCGGACTGTCGTCAGGAGGAGGAAACGTGGGACCAAACGCTGGAGGGGACGGAGTGTGAACAGGAGGAGAGGAGGGAAGACCAAAGGCCCGAAGGCCACTCACGGGTGGGAACAACTGCCGCTCCAGAGGGAGCTGCGGTGGTCGTGGCTGCGGCGGCGGTGTCTGCTGCTGCGGCGGCTGCTGATGCTGCTGCTGCTGCTGCTGCTACAGCAGGTCCAACTGCCGCAACTCCTGCCGCTCCCTCTCCAACAGCACCTGCTCCTCACGCTCACGCCGACGGGCCGCCTGGAGACACGTGTCCTGGCGGTGGGGAGGCGGAGTGGACTCCGAAGAACCAGTGTCTCCAGCTCCAGTCTCCTCAGAACCAGCACCTCCAGAGCCAGCGCCTCCAGCACCAGCACCCCCAGAACCAGCACCTCCTGTGCCAGCACCTCCAGCTCCAGCACCCCAAGAACAAGCACCTCCTGTGCCAGCACCTCCAGCTCCAGCACCCCCAGAACTAGCACCGCCAGTGCCAGGACCTCCAACTCCAGTACCCCCAGAGCTAGCGCCACCTGCGCCAGCACCTCCAGCTCTAGCACCCCTCGAACGAGCACCCCCAGACCGAGCACCGCGAGCGGCTGCACCAACACCAACCGAGTCCACAGTAACCTGTCGCGGCTGCTGAGGGGACTGTGAGGAGGACTGTGGGGAGGGAGACGCTACCTGACGCGCGACCGAGGGTAGAGGGGTAGCGTGGGACACACCAGACGGGGCAGGACCAGGGGGGGGCGGGGGTACCGGAGGAGCGGGAGCAGGA